GTAAACTCTTCAAAAATCCCCAGTGGGGTCACTGCTGATGTATTTAATGTCGTAGAACAAAACGTGATTTATCTCTTAAATTTGTGTCAACCACAGACCTTATTTCGAGCTATTTTCCAAAACCCTATGGAAAAAATGCATTGCTTTTTGAGGAAGGAACCGGAAGTGCTAAAAATACTAACTTACTTCCGGGTTTTACGACGCGTCACTGCGGTTCTCTATTAGCCCTGTTTTTGCAAGAGCTGAATCTGAGAAGTCTTCTTCGCTGCTTTTGTGGCAGACTACAGCGCCACCTACAGGCCTGGCATATGTACTACAGCGTCTCCAGCGCTTTCGAACGGCAATGGCCGTGGCTGTCTCCTCCTGATTGGTGGAGAGTTGCCCATATAGGCGGAGCTCCTCGTTCCTGACGTCAAGACTATTTTCAAATCTGTATCAGATCCGTTGCAGCCCCGTTTTTAGAGATTTGGGTATGGAGGAAAATAGAGAGGGTTGTGTTTTCTGACACTTGGTGAGTTCCCTGGAACACCGGGGACACATTCATGTATAAAAGACGTACAAAAATGCCTTTTGCATGACAGGACCACTTTAAGTACACAATCTGAGTACTTCTGCCCCCTCTGTTGGCCAGCCCTAGAAGGACACCCATCTATGTGATTGATATGTACTTTCTTTGTATGGGATACAATGTAGCATTTGTATCAGGAGATTTCAACTTTAATATTGCAAGCTTGCAACCCTAATTTTAAACCCCTCTATCATTACATTAATTTGGCACAAAGAGTGCAGCCTTAACACATTATGAAAAGATTGTCTCTTTTATTTAATCTAGCAACACAAAACTTTCCACATGTTACAAAATATGTTTAAATAAATCTGCAAATCTGGAATTCGATGAGGTAAAAGCAGAGTTATCAAAGGCACATTTCTCCAGGGTTATTATAGTGTCTATGTTTTATGCTCAACTTCAAAACACCATTGTACTACTGGCAGATAAACAGAAAAAAAGAATAGCCTTCCTCAGGAAAGCTGCTTTGCGTACACACATTAAATTATGCAATTGTTATGGTAATAAACATGTCAATTGTGGCTTTACAAGTTCCAGATACACTCGCCCTCACCACATGTACCTTTAGTAAATATACCACAGTAGACTCTGAAGCTGAAGTTATGAAATATGTGTTCAAACTACTTGTTGGAATCATTAATTTCATGCTTCACATCCTATAACAGCTGCTTTTGTTTTTCTCCAAAGCTGCTTTGATGAGAAACAGAAACTGGCTGAGGCTGTCATGTGGATGTCTGTGAGAAACTTCTTGGATGTGACTTGTGTTAAAGATCTGCTCTTTGTCTTAAGCTGAGAGGTTAGGAGCAGTCTTTATAGTGTTAATGTTTCATGACGTTAGAAATAAGATTGATTAATATGAACTTCCACCTCTATCTTTAGCACTCTGTACATGTGGGACACCAGCTTAATATAAGCACTTACATCGTTGTAAATATAGAGGAATAATGACACGATACTTCATCATTACACTCGGGAGTATTCTGTATATCTGTGTATTAAATGTTGTTCATGCATTCTCTCCCCTCTCCATCTACACAGCTATAATTGTTATACATCACTAATAATGTGCATCTGTATTAATGACCTTGTTTTTCATATTCAGCAGAAGTAAGGTGATCGTTCATTATCTGAATGTTGGCAGGTATTCATAGTTTCTCGGCCAATAAAAAAGGCAAATAGATCGCAGTCCAATAACAACCCCAGCATATTGAACTCTACAAATCATCACACTGTGTCGAGACAGCTCGTGTGTAATTGCCAGCAAATACTGTGACATTGGTAACTATTAAAAAGTCATTACTTGAAGTTCAATGTCACCTTAAACACTAAGTGTTTCCTCCACAATAAAGATAGAAATTCAGAATACACTGTACAGTACAAAATACAATTTCATCTCCCTTTATATGCCGTCTAAAGTTGGGATAACAAATATACTAAAAAACACAATATATAATACAAGGGTAACGTTTATGGGCTCTGTGAGCAACATTTTTTAAAAAGCAATATCTCTCATCCAGATAAGTTCTGCCCTGCAGTTTAAGAGTCAGCGCTGCTTTCCATTCAGAAGAGTTCCAGTCCTCATTATTATTACAGCCGCAGGTCCAAAACGAAAAATGCACAAATATTTAGTTTGACACTATGCATTGTGCTCAAAATGTGCACACATTAAATGTGAGATAACCCACCTATTTTTGTCAAGTTTGTGAATCTGTGTGGAACAGAGATCAGTTCAGGTGAACCATGCATGACTTCCTCCTCGTGGCTGACTTCCAGTTCATTGAGGGCAAAGGTGAGCAAGCAACAGCAGCACAGCCATCACCACTGCTCTGGGGATGGACCAGGTAGAATAAAAAAAGATTTATTGGATGACTCCCACAGCCAGCGAAATGAGATGAGACTAGAGGATAAAATAGGAAGCGTCCCTGCAATGTTCGACATAGCCGTTTGGAAGGTCAAAGTTCAAAAGACTAGGAGAAGTCCAGGGGGCGGATCATCATGGCCGTGGCTCGTAGCGAGTAGCTGGGGCCCTTGAAGTAGTGCCACTTGATACCGTTCAACTTCCCTATGTGTTGCCCTTGGGTGAAGTACATGCCGTTAAGGTTGGACGGGCCGCAGGCATCAAACCACCAACCTGAGTAGAGAGAAGTGGGGGAAAGAACAAGGACAAACAAAGCATTTTAGCAACAGACAAGGGATTTCATTAAGTATTGTTTTGTCAAGGTGTTGATAAATTCACCTTTATCACAAGTTGTGTCCTTGGTAAAGGTTGGAAGTTTCCCATGGCCTCTCCCACTGGGCCATGGGACACCATTTCACTGCTATCTGCTCAATGTGTTACTGCCACATGGTTCAGTGGCATGCCAGTACCTGTTGCTGAACGCTCTCCGTACCTCGTTCTATTTAAAGCAAAGAGTGTGCCTGTGCACGAGCTCCAGCACAGCAGACATCAAAGTACTGAATGTCATGGGAACTGTTATTCTGCTCCCAGGGTGACACATTTTATACTTTCCCTAAAGGATATCTGGCACTAAAAAGAGAGAGTAGACGTGCTTGGACTTAAAAAGGCCTTTTATACAATTTAAGGTGAACATAGGCTTCTTGTCTTAGAAGGAGTTCAAGAAATATATTGCTAGTTCTAAATGTTGTAGCAGGTGGGCAACTGTTTCTCTCTCGCTAAGGCCATAGAAGCAGTTAACACTTTGACAAGTATGGAGAGGCGACCTTCTCTCATTATCGACTGAATCTGTGGAAAAACCCTGCCCATAAATATCCACCATGCAGCTTCTTTAGATTCCTAAAGACTCACTGATCCTCACTTTTATCTTACCTTGCTTAAAGCTCATTTATATTTAGCCTAATTGTTTTGTTGTGTTGTGTTGGCATATCTTACCTGCCACCTTTTGAAATTGAGTATATATATATATGTTTAAAGAATTCAAGTGAATATACTTTATGAATAAAGTGTTGCCATGCTATTACTAATATTATATATTTCTGATGACAGATGTACTAAATGTATCCATTCCATCCTAGATATCTTATATCTGAACAGGGAGCAGGTCCTCAGTCAGATATAGAACATATGCGAGGCATGGCACGCGTCCGTCACAGAGTGACACATCGTAGTGCCTCTCCTCTCACATTTAAATACCACAGTGGCCTACAGCATGACTTTTCAAAAGACCTGTCAGTAATCAGGAGCAGCGTTCTGCCCTTGTTGCTAGCAGGGGTCGCACATTATACATTTTACATTGATCGCTGCTACAGCATAAGACACGTACACAACATAGCATGGCAACTGGTGGACACCTCTTTACATTTCTACAGCTGTTTAGAGTTTCAGGATGCTGAAAGCAGTAATGAGTTGCACTAGCTTTTTATAGGTATAGTTTCTCAAGCTGGGGAGCTCTGTCAGACACATGTGTTGATGGACCAACAATGGGTAAAGGTTAAATGTGTAAATGTTTTATTAAATTAGAAATGGAATAAATAATTATGCAGAGTGAAAACGTTATCGGTTGTGGTGATAAATACACAGCTACTGGATTAAAATTACAATGTTCTGGACGTGTAAAAATGCAATATGTTAAACACCTTGTTAGTAGCTAATATGTTGATTATGTGCATAAAATGTGTTTCTACCACCCTTTAGTAGCCCTGAAAACGTTCAAAAAGCTTGTAAGATATAATTAAATCTCAACAGAATTAGTTCAAACCACTTGAAAACCAAAAATGTTGAAAGTTAGAGAGAAATAGTAGACAGTAGCAGTAGTAAATCTGGTGTTGTGTGGTTGATACATAGGCGGTACGGGGTTTGACAGCATCACAAAGTGCAACCTTCCGTTTTATTGAGACACTGTTTGACCCCCTGTTGAATGCTAATGCAGAAAACAGTGAATGTCTCCCACTTGCCATCCCTCACTTGTTGAAAAACTGCAGACCACACGACTTTCATTGCACACATAAACATTCAGTGTGCACAGCAGCAAAGCTTTGGGATTAATGATCGGTACCCTCTCTGTTTCCAGACCAGAGATTTTAAAAGACTTGTAAAAACAGTGGGGATGTCTTCTTTAAAAAAAAAAGAAGTCTCTATTTCAGTTTGTTCTCATGGGACAGGGATCTCCCTACCTACTACTGTCAGGGCTGAACTCCTACTGTGTGTTCTAGTGCTGTGTAAATATATACATTACAGTGTGTGTGTGTGTGTGGTCCAAAGTATATCCTCCTCTGTACTCTTCACACGGCATGCTGCAGTTGTCCTCATAAATGTAGCAGAAGTATTTTTCCTCTTGTATATTCAAAGACACTTACATCATTTAAATGCAGGGAATAAATCAACTGATACGCTTTATTTACTGTAGCACAGGGCTGGGTTCGGCCTCCACTCAGGCTACATGCTGTCATGCCTCTCCATTATGGCTGGCCATAGGCAGGCTATGAATCAAGCGGGATTAGGGGTGTTGATTAGTGATCGGATGCCAGTTCCCTTTAACCCAGTGCATTCAAAATGACCTAAGAGGTAAACCTGATCTTAAATCTGCACTTTAAAATGCTTGATTAGTACCAGGTCAAGGCTCTCACAGCAATGGAGCTGCTATGAGGTGACAGCGAGGGTCACCGGGCTCCCCTTACACAGCAGGGGAAGCAGAGTCATTTTAAATCTCCCTGACACTTGGTGCCGCGCCCAGGGATCTTTATATCGTGCTGCTTGCCAACCACAGTGCATGGGTGGGGATGCATATAGATTATAGGCTAATAGGTGCAGATACAGGTAGAAGTGGCCATGTTAGCCTGCTGCAAGCATGTCAAAAGCAGGCTGTGATCACAATAGGCGCATTCACACCGCAGTACTTTTCCCACAAAGGTTCATGAGAACTTAGTTCATCAGAACTCTTTAGTTCTGATGAACTAAGTACAGATCGCGTTCACACCGGAATAAGTCCCTGGGGGAGGATTAGGCAAATGAAGCTGCTGACGTCACTTCTTCTTCTTCTGCTTTGGGTTTACTGGCAGGCCGCAAACAACTTCACGGTGTACACTGCCGCCCAAAATCCCCGGCCGGAAGTCCCCGGAGTTGGGGACTGGCTTCAGTAGAAGCTGCTGGGACTCCCAGCAGCTTCTACTGAAGCCTTCCGAGTAAATCTCCAGAACGCCGACACCTCCTCATCTCCACCGCTCCCATGTTTTATTTTGTGTTGCCATAAGTTAGTCTCTCTGCGTTTTGGCGCTGGTTTAATGCTAATGCTAATAATGCTAATAAAATGGTGGCTTCACAACACTTTTTTTTAGTTTTACGGGGCGTGGTTTGCAATCCGCCCAGCCAATCAGAAATATAGCTCTTTTCTCACAAAGAGTGCTCTCTAGCAGGGATGGAAAAGGGGGTAAAAAGGTTCTCATGAACTAATTTGAGTTCCGGCTCTTTTTGGTGTGAACGCGACATTTCGGAACTATATCGGAACTAAAGTGGGAAAAGTACTCCGGTGTGAACGCGGCTAATGGCCTGCACTAATGACCGGGTAGTGAACATGGTGGAACTGGTCGTAAAAGCAAATCAGAGAAAATTGCTTTTTAGAACATCATGCTATTGTACGCAGTTGTTGCTGCCATAAAGATACACATGCTTAAAGATTCATTTTATGACAACTATGGCATATTTTGTTCTTTATGCATGATTTCTATGACATTGTACTCCCTAATTTAATAGCTGAGAGTGAGAAAGAGTTGCTGAGTATAATGCTAATAGGGGAAGAAACAGGAGAACTTCAGGCTTGCTAAACTTATTCAGAAGAGAAAAGGACAGCAAATGATTAAATAATCATTTGGAGCTGCTTTAAGTAAGGGATCAGGTGACGGTATGTTGCTCACATCAGAGCGGCATGCTCCAAAGAACATTTTGTACATTTGAAATGCATTCTGGTGCACTTGGAGAGCAGAATGAAGAGGTCGGATCTACGTTACGAGATACTTGTGTTAACGCTTTTGGTTTAATATAGTTGTGCTTTAAAATCCTTTTCAAATTATAAACAAACCGTGTTTTATAGAATAGATTTACACATCTTTGTAATGTCCCTCACCCACACGCACCCCCCATACTGCACACTCATTCACCCACTATCAGCAAAGCATACGGCACGGATTTTACTCTTAAAATAGTTTTTAAAATAAGCCTAGTGTCTTATATTTACCGTATTTTATTTATTTTTAGAAATACAGAGTGTAAGGCAAATGAATAACTTAATTTCACAAGGAAACTGCATTTGACATTAAACACACTGCAATAAAAGGCAAAGCAAAACTCATAGTAAACGAGACAGGATCTGCTGCTGTTTGAACTTTTTTGCTGTTTTGTTTTAAGTCTGATGTTTATTCATTTATGTGATGTTTTTTAGGCTGCTGTTTTGATCAGGACTCCCTTTCAAAATAGATTTTGATAGCAGATGGTCATTACATGAGCAGCTAGTGAACATAGTTGAGCATTTAGAAGTGTTATTGAAAGAAAAATGAATGTATGATTATTCCCACTGTGATGCACCGTCGCTGCACTTACCACCAGTGAGCATGAGAGCACACTTGCACATGCAGTTGTCATTGTCCATGTCCTTGGTGCTGAAGTCTGCTCCGTTGATCACGAGGCTGCTCTGTCTGCCTGCCGTCCCACTGTGGCTTTTCAGGAACAGCCTGAAAGACGGGAGGAGGAGGGAGTGAGGACATGAAAACACATCAGGGGGAGAGGAGTGTGCTGGAGTGAGCAGTGCAAGCAATAAAGACAGCAAGGAGACATAACATGCAGCAAGAAATGTCTCATGAGAGGCATTTTTTTATTTTTTTTGATTGAGTACATGTAGAACACCTGGAACAACATTAGCCGGGAGGACAGAAGATCAAATAAAGAAGGAAATAAAGAAAGATTATTTTAAAATATTACAAATGGAAAGTGAGGGAGACGGAGAGGAAAGAGCATGTAGTGTAAGGAATGTCTGGGAATCACATTTCCATCCGCAGGGCCAGAGTGTGTTCGTTCACACCTTAAATACTGACTACTGACTAATACACAACCTGTCTACATGGTTTCTACTGTTTTAGAACATTTATTCATTTCATGAAACCAAACATACTGCTCTATTCTTGCTGCTAGGCCATAACTTATATATATTATCAAGCCCAATTCAAAGGATTTTCTATTGAAAAAGCATTACGATACTTGTGCAATAACTGGAGTGCACACTGTGCCGAACCTTTACTATGGCGGCTGAGACTAACCCCCAGTTTTCACCGGGTCCGTCTGCGCCGCGTTACGGCTGCGCCGTGGCGGTCGTGAGGATCGCGGCCAATCTAGTCAATGGGTGCTATTCCACCACACGCGCTGCGTTACGGCTCAGACGCGTCCCAGAAGCGGCTCGGCGCAGCGGCTCGGCGCAGCGCTTCTCTAAAATTAGGATGAATCCTATTTTTGCCGCGGCGCAGCCGTAACGTAAGGTAGGGCAGGC